AGCCTAAGCCTAAGCCTAAGCCTAAGCCTAAGCCTAAGCCTAAGCCTAAGCCTAAGCCTAAGCCTAAGCCTAAGCCTAAGCCTAAGCTAAGCCTAAGCCTAAGCCTAAGCCTAAGCCTAAGCCTAAGCCTAAGCCTAAGCCTAAGCCTAAGCCTAAGCCTAAGCCTAAGCCTAAGCCTAAGCCTAAGCCTAAGCCTAAGCCTAAGCCTAAGCCTAAGCCTAAGCCTAAGCCTAAGCCTAAGCCTAAGCCTAAGCCTAAGCCTAAGCCTAAGCCTAAGCCTAAGCCTAAGCCTAAGCCTAAGCCTAAGCCTAAGCCTAAGCCTAAGCCTAAGCCTAAGCCTAAGCCTAAGCCTAAGCCTAAGCCTAAGCCTAAGCCTAAGCCTAAGCCTAAGCCTAAGCCTAAGCCTAAGCCTAAGCCTAAGCCTAAGCCTAAGCCTAAGCCTAAGCCTAAGCCTAAGCCTAAGCCTAAGCCTAAGCCTAAGCCTAAGCCTAAGCCTAAGCCTAAGCCTAAGCCTAAGCCTAAGCCTAAGCCTAAGCCTAAGCCTAAGCCTAAGCCTAAGCCTAAGCCTAAGCCTAAGCCTAAGCCTAAGCCTAAGCCTAAGCCTAAGCCTAAGCCTAAGCCTAAGCCTAAGCCTAAGCCTAAGCCTAAGCCTAAGCCTAAGCCTAAGCCTAAGCCTAAGCCTAAGCCTAAGCCTAAGCCTAAGCCTAAGCCTAAGCCTAAGCCTAAGCCTAAGCCTAAGCCTAAGCCTAAGCCTAAGCCTAAGCCTAAGCCTAAGCCTAAGCCTAAGCCTAAGCCTAAGCCTAAGCCTAAGCCTAAGCCTAAGCCTAAGCCTAAGCCTAAGCCTAAGCCTAAGCCTAAGCCTAAGCCTAAGCCTAAGCCTAAGCCTAAGCCTAAGCCTAAGCCTAAGCCTAAGCCTAAGCCTAAGCCTAAGCCTAAGCCTAAGCCTAAGCCTAAGCCTAAGCCTAAGCCTAAGCCTAAGCCTAAGCCTAAGCCTAAGCCTAAGCCTAAGCCTAAGCCTAAGCCTAAGCCTAAGCCTAAGCCTAAGCCTAAGCCTAAGCCTAAGCCTAAGCCTAAGCCTAAGCCTAAGCCTAAGCCTAAGCCTAAGCCTAAGCCTAAGCCTAAGCCTAAGCCTAAGCCTAAGCCTAAGCCTAAGCCTAAGCCTAAGCCTAAGCCTAAGCCTAAGCCTAAGCCTAAGCCTAAGCCTAAGCCTAAGCCTAAGCCTAAGCCTAAGCCTAAGCCTAAGCCTAAGCCTAAGCCTAAGCCTAAGCCTAAGCCTAAGCCTAAGCCTAAGCCTAAGCCTAAGCCTAAGCCTAAGCCTAAGCCTAAGCCTAAGCCTAAGCCTAAGCCTAAGCCTAAGCCTAAGCCTAAGCCTAAGCCTAAGCCTAAGCCTAAGCCTAAGCCTAAGCCTAAGCCTAAGCCTAAGCCTAAGCCTAAGCCTAAGCCTAAGCCTAAGCCTAAGCCTAAGCCTAAGCCTAAGCCTAAGCCTAAGCCTAAGCCTAAGCCTAAGCCTAAGCCTAAGCCTAAGCCTAAGCCTAAGCCTAAGCCTAAGCCTAAGCCTAAGCCTAAGCCTAAGCCTAAGCCTAAGCCTAAGCCTAAGCCTAAGCCTAAGCCTAAGCCTAAGCCTAAGCCTAAGCCTAAGCCTAAGCCTAAGCCTAAGCCTAAGCCTAAGCCTAAGCCTAAGCCTAAGCCTAAGCCTAAGCCTAAGCCTAAGCCTAAGCCTAAGCCTAAGCCTAAGCCTAAGCCTAAGCCTAAGCCTAAGCCTAAGCCTAAGCCTAAGCCTAAGCCTAAGCCTAAGCCTAAGCCTAAGCCTAAGCCTAAGCCTAAGCCTAAGCCTAAGCCTAAGCCTAAGCCTAAGCCTAAGCCTAAGCCTAAGCCTAAGCCTAAGCCTAAGCCTAAGCCTAAGCCTAAGCCTAAGCCTAAGCCTAAGCCTAAGCCTAAGCCTAAGCCTAAGCCTAAGCCTAAGCCTAAGCCTAAGCCTAAGCCTAAGCCTAAGCCTAAGCCTAAGCCTAAGCCTAAGCCTAAGCCTAAGCCTAAGCCTAAGCCTAAGCCTAAGCCTAAGCCTAAGCCTAAGCCTAAGCCTAAGCCTAAGCCTAAGCCTAAGCCTAAGCCTAAGCCTAAGCCTAAGCCTAAGCCTAAGCCTAAGCCTAAGCCTAAGCCTAAGCCTAAGCCTAAGCCTAAGCCTAAGCCTAAGCCTAAGCCTAAGCCTAAGCCTAAGCCTAAGCCTAAGCCTAAGCCTAAGCCTAAGCCTAAGCCTAAGCCTAAGCCTAAGCCTAAGCCTAAGCCTAAGCCTAAGCCTAAGCCTAAGCCTAAGCCTAAGCCTAAGCCTAAGCCTAAGCCTAAGCCTAAGCCTAAGCCTAAGCCTAAGCCTAAGCCTAAGCCTAAGCCTAAGCCTAAGCCTAAGCCTAAGCCTAAGCCTAAGCCTAAGCCTAAGCCTAAGCCTAAGCCTAAGCCTAAGCCTAAGCCTAAGCCTAAGCCTAAGCCTAAGCCTAAGCCTAAGCCTAAGCCTAAGCCTAAGCCTAAGCCTAAGCCTAAGCCTAAGCCTAAGCCTAAGCCTAAGCCTAAGCCTAAGCCTAAGCCTAAGCCTAAGCCTAAGCCTAAGCCTAAGCCTAAGCCTAAGCCTAAGCCTAAGCCTAAGCCTAAGCCTAAGCCTAAGCCTAAGCCTAAGCCTAAGCCTAAGCCTAAGCCTAAGCCTAAGCCTAAGCCTAAGCCTAAGCCTAAGCCTAAGCCTAAGCCTAAGCCTAAGCCTAAGCCTAAGCCTAAGCCTAAGCCTAAGCCTAAGCCTAAGCCTAAGCCTAAGCCTAAGCCTAAGCCTAAGCCTAAGCCTAAGCCTAAGCCTAAGCCTAAGCCTAAGCCTAAGCCTAAGCCTAAGCCTAAGCCTAAGCCTAAGCCTAAGCCTAAGCCTAAGCCTAAGCCTAAGCCTAAGCCTAAGCCTAAGCCTAAGCCTAAGCCTAAGCCTAAGCCTAAGCCTAAGCCTAAGCCTAAGCCTAAGCCTAAGCCTAAGCCTAAGCCTAAGCCTAAGCCTAAGCCTAAGCCTAAGCCTAAGCCTAAGCCTAAGCCTAAGCCTAAGCCTAAGCCTAAGCCTAAGCCTAAGCCTAAGCCTAAGCCTAAGCCTAAGCCTAAGCCTAAGCCTAAGCCTAAGCCTAAGCCTAAGCCTAAGCCTAAGCCTAAGCCTAAGCCTAAGCCTAAGCCTAAGCCTAAGCCTAAGCCTAAGCCTAAGCCTAAGCCTAAGCCTAAGCCTAAGCCTAAGCCTAAGCCTAAGCCTAAGCCTAAGCCTAAGCCTAAGCCTAAGCCTAAGCCTAAGCCTAAGCCTAAGCCTAAGCCTAAGCCTAAGCCTAAGCCTAAGCCTAAGCTAAGCCTAAGCCTAAGCCTAAGCCTAAGCCTAAGCCTAAGCCTAAGCCTAAGCCTAAGCCTAAGCCTAAGCCTAAGCCTAAGCCTAAGCCTAAGCCTAAGCCTAAGCCTAAGCCTAAGCCTAAGCCTAAGCCTAAGCCTAAGCCTAAGCCTAAGCCTAAGCCTAAGCCTAAGCCTAAGCCTAAGCCTAAGCCTAAGCCTAAGCCTAAGCCTAAGCCTAAGCCTAAGCCTAAGCCTAAGCCTAAGCCTAAGCCTAAGCCTAAGCCTAAGCCTAAGCCTAAGCCTAAGCCTAAGCCTAAGCCTAAGCCTAAGCCTAAGCCTAAGCCTAAGCCTAAGCCTAAGCCTAAGCCTAAGCCTAAGCCTAAGCCTAAGCCTAAGCCTAAGCCTAAGCCTAAGCCTAAGCCTAAGCCTAAGCCTAAGCCTAAGCCTAAGCCTAAGCCTAAGCTAAGCCTAAGCCTAAGCCTAAGCCTAAGCCTAAGCCTAAGCCTAAGCCTAAGCCTAAGCCTAAGCCTAAGCCTAAGCCTAAGCCTAAGCCTAAGCCTAAGCCTAAGCCTAAGCCTAAGCCTAAGCCTAAGCCTAAGCCTAAGCCTAAGCCTAAGCCTAAGCCTAAGCCTAAGCCTAAGCCTAAGCCTAAGCCTAAGCCTAAGCCTAAGCCTAAGCCTAAGCCTAAGCCTAAGCCTAAGCCTAAGCCTAAGCCTAAGCCTAAGCCTAAGCCTAAGCCTAAGCCTAAGCCTAAGCCTAAGCCTAAGCCTAAGCCTAAGCCTAAGCCTAAGCCTAAGCCTAAGCCTAACCTAAGCCTAAGCCTAAGCCTAAGCCTAAGCCTAAGCCTAAGCCTAAGCCTAAGCCTAAGCCTAAGCCTAAGCCTAAGCCTAAGCCTAAGCCTAAGCCTAAGCCTAAGCCTAAGCCTAAGCCTAAGCCTAAGCCTAAGCCTAAGCCTAAGCCTAAGCCTAAGCCTAAGCCTAAGCCTAAGCCTAAGCCTAAGCCTAAGCTAAGCCTAAGCCTAAGCCTAAGCCTAAGCCTAAGCCTAAGCCTAAGCCTAAGCCTAAGCCTAAAGCCTAAGCCTAAGCCTAAGCCTAAGCTAAGCCATAAGCCTAAGCCTAAGCCTAAGCCTAAGCTAAGCCTAAGCCTAAGCCTAAGCCTAAGCCTAAGCTAAGCCTAAGCCTAAGCCTAAGCCTAAGCCTAAGCCTAAAGCCTAAGCCTAAGCCTAAGCCTAAGCCTAATGCCTAAGCCTAAGCCTAAGCCTAAGAGCCTAAGCTAAGCTAAGCCTAAGCCTAAGCCTAAGCCTAAGCCTAAGCCTAAGCCTAAGCCTATAGCCTAAGCCTAAGCCTAAGCCTAAGCCTAAGCTAAGCCTAAGCCTAAGCCTAAAGCCTAAGCCTAAGCTAAGCCTAAGCCTAAGCCTAAGCCTAAGCCTAAGCCTAAGCCTAAGCCTAAGCCTAAGCCTAAGCCTAAGCCTAAGCCTAAGCCTAAAGCCTAAAGCCTAAGCCTAAGCTAAGCCTAAGCCTAAGCCTAAGCCTAAGCCTAAGCCTAAGCCTAAGCCTAAGCCTAAGCCTAAGCCTAAGCCTAAGCCTAAGCCTAAGCCTAAGCCTAAGCCTAAGCTAAGCCTAAGCCTAAGCCTAAGCCTAAGCTAAGCCTAAGCCTAAGCCTAAGCCTAAGCCTAAGCCTAAGCCTAAGCCTAAGCCTAAGCCTAAGCCTAAGCCTAAGCCTAAGCCTAAGCTAAGCCTAAAGCCTAAGCCTAAGCCTAAGCCTAAGCCTAAGCTAAGCCTAAGCCTAAGCCTAAGCCTAAGCCTAAGCCTAAGCTAAGCCTAAGCCTAAGCCTAAGCCTAAGCCTAAGCCTAAGCCTAAGCCTAAGCCTAAGCTAAAGCCTAAGCCTAAGCCTAAGCCTAAGCCTAAGCCTAAGCCTAAGCCTAAGCCTAAGCCTAAGCCTAAGCCTAAGCCTAAGCCTAAGCCTAAGCCTAAGCCTAAGCCTAAGCCTAAGCCTAAGCCTAAGCCTAAGCCTAAGCCTAAGCCTAAGCCTAAGCCTAAGCTAAGCCTAAGCCTAAGCCTAAGCCTAAGCCTAAGCCTAAGCTAAGCCTAAGCCTAAGCCTAAGCCTAAGCCTAAGCCTAAGCCTAAGCCTAAGCCTAAGCCTAAGCCTAAGCCTAAGCCTAAGCCTAAGCCTAAGCCTAAGCCTAAGCCTAAGCCTAAGCCTAAGCCTAAGCCTAAGCCTAAGCCTAAGCCTAAGCCTAAGCCTAAGCCTAAGCCTAAGCCTAAGCCTAAGCCTAAGCCTAAGCCTAAGCCTAAGCCTAAGCCTAAGCCTAAGCCTAAGCCTAAGCCTAAGCCTAAGCCTAAGCCTAAGCCTAAGCCTAAGCCTAAGCCTAAGCCCTAAGCCTAAGCCTAAGCCTAAGCCTAAGCCTAAGCCTAAGCCTAAAGCCTAAGCCTAAGCCTAAGCCTATGCCTAAGCCTAAGCCTAAGCCTAAGCCTAAGCCTAAGCCTAAGCCTAAGCCTAAGCCTAAGCCTAAGCCTAAGCCTAAGCCTAAGCTAAGCCTAAGCCTAACCTAAGCCTAAGCCTAAGCCTAAGCCTAAGCCTAAGCCTAAGCCTAAGCCTAAGCCTAAGCCTAAGCCTAAGCTAAGCCTAAGCCTAAGGCTTAGCCTAAGCCTAAGCCTAAGCCTAAGCCTAAGCCTAAGCCTAAGCCTAAGCCTAAGCCTAAGCCTAAGCCTAAGCCTAAGCCTAAGCCTAAGCCTAAGCTTAAGCCTAAGCCTAAGCCTAAGCCTAAGCCTAAGCCTAAGCCTAAGCCTAAGCCTAAGCCTAAGCCTAAGCTAAGCCTAAGCCTAAGCCTAAGCCTAAGCCTAAGCCTAAGCCTAAGCCTAAGCCTAATAGCCTAGCCTAGCCTAAGCCTAAGCCTAAGCCTAAGCCTAAGCCTAAGCCTAAGCCTAAGCTAAGCCTAAGCCTAAGCTAGCCTAAGCCTAAGCCTAAGCCTAAGCCTAAGCCTAAGCCTAAGCCTAAGCCTAAGCCTAAGCCTAAGCCTAAGCCTAAGCCTAAGCCTAAGCCTAAGCCTAAGCCTAAGCCTAAGCCTAAGGCTTAGGCTAAGCCTAAGCCTAAGCCTAAGCCTAAGCCTAAGCCTAAGCCTAAGCCTAAGCCTAAGCCTAAGCCTAAGCCTAAGCCTAAGCCTAAGCCTAAGCCTAAGCCTAAGCCTAAGCCTAAGCCTAAGCCTAAGCCTAAGCCTAAGCTAAGCCTAAGCCTAAGCCTAAGCCTAAGCCTAAGCCTAAGCCTAAGCCTAAGCCTAAGCCTAAGCCTAAGCCTAAGCCTAAGCCTAAGCCTAAGCCTAAGCCTAAGCCTAAGCCTAAGCCTAAGCCTAAGCTAAGCCTAAGCCTAAGCCTAAGCCTAAGCCTAAGCCTAAAGCCTAAGCCTAAGCCTAAGCCTAAGCCTAAGCCTAGCCTAAGCCTAAGCCTAAGCCTAAGCCTAAGCCTAAGCCTAAGCCTAAGCCTAAGCCTAAGCCTAAGCCTAAGCCTAAGCCTAAGCCTAAGCCTAAGCCTAAGCCTAAGGCTAAGCCTAAGCCTAAGCCTAAGCCTAAGCCTAAGCCTAAGCCTAAGCCTAAGCCTAAGCCTAAGCCTAAGCCTAAGCCTAAGCCTAAGCCTAAGCCTAAGCCTAAGCCTAAGCCTAAGCCTAAGCTTACCCTAAGCCTAAGCCTAAGTACACCCTAAGCCTAAGCCTAAGCCTAAGCCTAAGCCTAAGCCTAAGCTAAGCCTAAGCCTAAGCCTAAGCCTAAGCCTAAGCTAAGCCTAAGCCTAAGCCTAAGCCTAAGCTAAGCCTAAGCCTAAGCCTAAGCCTAAGCCTAAGCCTAAGCCTAAGCCTAAGCCTAAGCCTAAGCCTAAGCCTAAGCCTAAGCCTAGGCCTAAGCCTAAGCCTAAGCCTAAGCCTAAACCTAAGCCTAAGCCTAAGCCTAAGCCTAAGCCTAAGCCTAAGCCTAAGCCTAAGCCTAAGCCTAAGCCTAAGCCTAAGCCTAAGCCTAAGCCTAAGCCTAAGCCTAAGCCTAAGCCTAAGCCTAAGCCTAAGCCTAAGCCTAAGCCTAAGCCTAAGCCTAAGCCTAAGCCTAAGCCTAAGCCTAAGCCTAAGCCTAAGCCTAAGCCTAGGCCTAAGCCTAAGCCTAGGCCTAAGCCTAAGCCTAAGCCTAAGCCTAAGCCTAAGCCTAAGCCTAAGCCTAAGCCTAAGCCTAAGCCTAAGCCTAAGCCTAAGCCTAAGCCTAAGCCTAAAGCCTAAGCCTAAGCCTAAGCCTAAGCCCTAAGCCTAAGCCTAAGCCTAAGCCTAAGCCTAAGCCTAAGCCTAAGCCTAAGCCTAAGCCTAAGCCTAAGCCTAAGCCTAAGCCTAAGCCTAGGCCTAAGCCTAAACCTAAGCCTAAGCCTAAGCCTAAGCCTAAGCCTAAGCCTAAGCCTAAGCCTAAGCCTAAGCCTAAGCCTAAGCCTAAGCCTAAGCCTAAGCCTAAGCCTAAGCCTAAGCCTAAGCCTAAGCCTAAGCCTAAGCCTAAGCCTAAGCCTAAGCCTAAGCCTAAGCCTAAGCCTAAGCCTAAGCCTAAGCTAAGCCTAAGCCTAAGCCTAAGCCTAAGCCTAAGCCTAAGCCTAAGCCTAAGCCTAAGCCTAAGCCTAAGCCTAAGCCTAAGCCTAAGCCTAAGCCTAAGCCTAAGCCTAAGCCTAAGCCCAAGCCTAAGCCTAAGCCTAAGCCTAAGCCTAAGCCTAAGCCTAAGCCTAAGCCTAAGCCTAAGCCTAAGCCTAAGCCTAAGCCTAAGCCTAAGCCTAAGCCTAAGCCTAAGCCTATGCCTAAGCCTAAGCCTAAGCCTAAGCCTAAGCCTAAGCCTAAGCCTAAGCCTAAGCCTAAGCCTAAGCCTAAGCCTAAGCCTAAGCCTAAGCCGCCTAAGCCTAAGCCTAAGCCTAAGCCTAAGCCTAAGCCTAAGCCTAAGCCTAAGCCTAAGCTAAAAGCCTAAGCCTAAGCCTAAGCCTAAGCCTAAGCCTAAGCCTAAGCCTAAGCCTAAGCCTAAGCCTAAGCCTAAGCCTAAGCCTAAGCCTAAACCTAAGCCTAAGCTAAGCCTAAGCCTAAGCCTAGCCTAAGCCTAAGCCTAAGCCTAAGCCTAAGCCTAGCCTAAGCCTAAGCCTAAGCCTAGCCTAAGCCTAAGCCTAAGCCTAAGCCTAAGCTAAGCCTAAGCCTAAGCCTAAGCCTAAGCCTAAGCCTAAGCCTAAGCCTAAGCCTAAGCTAAGCCTAAGCCTAAGCCTAAGCCTAAGCCTCCTAAGCCTAAGCCTAAGCCTAAGCCTAGCCTAAGCCTAAGCCTAAGCCTAAGCCTAAGCCTAGCCTAAGCCTAAGCCTAAGCCTAAGCCTAAGCCTAAGCCTAAGCCTAAGCCTAAGCCTAAGCCTAAGCCTAAGCTAAGCCTAAGCCTAAGCCTAAGCCTAAGCCTAAGCCTAAGCCTAAGCCTAAGCCTAAGCCTAAGCCCTAAGCCTAAGCCTAAGCCTAAGGCCTAAGCCTAAGCCTAAGCCTAAGCCTAAGCCTAAGCCTAAGCTAAGCCTAAGCCTAAGCCTAAGCCTAAGCCTAAGCCTAAGCCTAAGCCTAAGCCTAAAGCCTAAGAGCCTAAGCCTAAGCCTAAGCCTAAGCCTAAGCCTAAGCCTAGTAAGCCTAAGCCTAAGCCTAAGCCTAAGCCTAAGCCTAAGCCTAAGCCTAAGCCTAAGCCTAAGCCTAAGCCTAAGCCTAAGCCTAAGCCTAAGCCTAAGCCTAAGCCTAAAGATCGGAAGAGCGGTTCAGCAGGAATGCCGAGAGCCTAGCTAAGCCTAAGCCTAAGCCTAAGCCTAAGCCTAAGCCTAAGCCTAAGCCTAAGCCTAAGCCTAAGCCTAAGCCTAAGCAAGTTTAAGCCTAAGCCTAAGCCTAAGCCTAAGCCTAAGCCTAAGCCTAAGCCTAAGCCTAAGCCTAAGCCTAAGCCTAAGCCTAAGCCTAAGCCTAAGCCTAAGCCTAAGCAAATTAAGCCTAAGCCTAAGCCTAAGCCTAAGCCTAAGCCTAAGCTAAGCCTAAGCCTAAGCCTAAGCTAAGCCTAAGCCTAAGCCTAAGCCTAAGCCTAAGCCTAAGCCTAAGCCTAAGCCTAAGCTAAGCCTAAGCCTAAGCTAAGCCTAAGCCTAAGCTAAGCCTAAGCCTAAGCCTAAGCCTAAGCCTAAGCCTAAGCCTAAGCCTAAGCCTAAGCCTAAGCCTAAGCCTAAGCCTAAGCCTAAGCCTAAGCCTAAGCCTAAGCCTAAGCCTAAGCTAAGCCTAAGCCTAAGCCTAAGCCTAAGCCTAAGCCTACTAAGCCTAAGCCTAAGCCTAACTAAGCCTAAGCCTAAGCCTAAGCCTAAGCCTAAGCCTAAGCCTAAGCCTAAGCCTAAGCCTAAGCCTAAAGCCTAAGCCTAAGCCTAAGCCTAAGCCTAAGCCTAAGCCTAAGCCTAAGCCTAAGCCTAGACCTAAGCCTAAGCCCTAAGCCTAAGCCTAAGCCTAAGCCTAAGCCTAAGCCTAAGCCTAAGCCTAAGCCTAAGCCTAAGCCTACTAAGCCTAAGCCTAAGCCTAAGCCTAAGCCTAAGCCTAAGCCTAAGCCTAAGCTAAGCCTAAGCCTAAGCCTAAGCTAAGCCTAAGCCTAAGCCTAAGCCTAAGCCTAAGCCTAAGCCTAAGCCTAAGCCTAAGCCTAAGCCTAAGCCTAAGCCTAAGCCTAAGCCTAAGCCTAAGCCTAAGCCTAAGCCTAAGCCTACCTAAGCCTAAGCCTAAGCCTAAGCCTAAGCCTAAGCAAGCCTAAGCCTAAGCCTAGCCTAAGCCTAAGCCTAAGCCTAAGCCTAAGCCTAAGCCTAAGCCTAAGCTAAGCCTAAGCCTAAGCCTAAGCCTAAGCTAAGCCTAAGCCTAAGCCTAAGCCTAAGCCTAAGCCTAAGCCTAAGCCTAAGCCTAAGCCTAAGCCTAAGCCTAAGCTAAGCCTAAGCCTAAGCTAAGCTAAGCCTAAGCCTAAGCCTAAGCCTAAGCTAAGCCTAAGCCTAAGCCTAAGCCTAAGCCTAAGCCTAAGCTAAGCCTAAGCCTAAGCCTAAGCCTAAGCCTAAGCCTAAGCTAAGCCTAAGCCTAAGCCTAAGCCTAAGCCTAAGCCTAAGCCTAAGCCTAAGCCTAAGCCTAAGCCTAAGCCTAAGCTAAGCCTAAGCCTAAGCCTAAGCCTAAGCCTAAGCCTAAGCTAAGCCTAAGCCTAAGCCTAAGCCTAAGCCTAAGCCTAAGCCTAATAAGCCTAAGCCTAAGCCTAAGCCTAAGCCTAAGCCTAAGCCTAAGCCTAAGCCTAAGCCTAAGCCTAAGCCTAAGCCTAAGCCTAAGCCTAAGCCTAAGCCTAAGCCTAAGCCTCATCAGCACGGGAAATATACAGAAAAAATTCCATTAGTGTAAGCTGAGTAAGCGTCACCCCGTCTGCACTCCTAGACCCGCCCTGTACTTTCCAATGTCCGCCCGTCTTCCGTATCTTACGCATCCCTGCCCTCCGGAGAAACGCCCACATCCCTTCACCCGCCCGCCCTTTCCAATGTCCGACCGCTTTCCTCACCTTATTGGAGTAAGTGTTACCCTCCCCGTATTCCTAGACCCGCCCCCGTCTGCATTCGCCTTCCCAATGCCCATCCGTCGTCTCCCGTACCCCACGCATCCCTCCTCTCACATTTCTGAGACCTATCTATTCCTTCGAGACTTGGTGTCGCTAATTTGGCACAAGTAAAATCATAAAAAACACCAGAAAAACATTACAACGACAAAAATATGGCGATAAAAATATAGGAAACCATAAAATAAAAAACCTAACAAAAAAACATATCTAAAACATCTCAATTTAATTGCTAAGTACAAGAAAATAACTGAAAACTTAATACAAAAATGAAAAACTGACTCACCTGGTGTTCGTTCCTTTCGAGAACTTGCTTGTTGATCTATTTGCCAATCGAAGGGGTCCATCACAATGTACCAATACCACAATATCAACATCGCCATGACGTCGAACAAGGCGAAACATCTCCAGCAACACTGAAAAAGTCATCAAGTTTTCGCCAACGAAACTCACAAAAACCCACTTGAAAGAAGCTACTAGGAAGTAATAAAATAAATCTCCAACCGCTCGACACGTCCGACTGCTCACGAATGACTAAATGATGAGGATGTGGCGATATGTGTGCCACCCCGTCTGCGCCTTTGTCTGTGTGCACACATGGACAAAGAAGTCCTTTGTCCCAATAAGGTTAAGAGGGAAATGTACAGGAGGGCGCGGGTCATTTTTAAAAGGACTGTATAGACCCTAAGGGAGTATAGAACCAATCGATTGGGTGAGTTGGGGTTGTGACATCAAAAGAAACCGTACTGTACAGGCACTCCGTTCGCCCTCAATGAGGGTATACCGAAAAGGGCAAAAGCGGGCCGGTGGGCGCACAGAGTGGCTGGGCACACACATCCCCTTCATCACTACAAAATACACATACATGCATAAGTAAAACTACTTAAAAAGAAAAGCTGCTAATCAAGCTCATCCGTTATCAACGCTAATTAAGCTCATCCGTCATCAATACTAATTAACCCCGTCTGTCCAAAGAACAATACCATACGCAGGCGGAATGACAACACATTTCATTCATAAATGTAAGCTAAAGATAATAAAAAAAGTACAGAAAACCATAAAATAAAAAGCTAAGGAAAAAGGCTAAACATAAAGATGAAAAATGGACTAACCTCCTTCTTTTCGAGATCTTCCTTGATGATCTAATTGCCAATAACAGTTCGCCAACATTGCCAACAACACTAAATAAGTTACTAGGTTATCGCCAACGAATTTCGCAAATGATTTTCTTCACGACAGCGATAAGCTGCAGCAATACAACAAAAATAGAAATTGGCCAAAAACCGTCCCAAGAAACATTCAATTAGCTAATAGAAAATTAGAAAAAAAGTGAAGCCGAATTTAAGATATAACGAAATTCAAATTTTAGTACATCTACATTCATGCATTTCTCAACCAAATCCAACTTCGATGACCTTACGCTTTAAGAGTAATTTACTTAAAAAGATGACTTAAAAGTGTCTTAAAAATATAATAACAATTTAACCAAAAGAAAAAGTATAACTTAAAAAAGAGAAAAAAACTTTCCCCTAAAACGCAATATGAAAAGAATTATGGGAGAGTAGTAAAACAAACGTCCGAACGCTCGACAGACCCGATTGCTCCACGAATGACCTGATGACGAGGATGTGGCTATATATATGTGCGCACAAGGACAAAGGAAGTCCTGTGTTTTTTAGAAAAGACTGTATAGGCCTAGGAGAGTACAGTGATAATCGACTGGGTGAATTGGGGGTTCATTGTTGGGGTGTGTGCGTCTGAGGAGCGAACGGATGGGCAGACACTTTGTTCGCCTTCACTGATGAGGTTAGGGCAGAAATGAGGGAAAGTGGGAGTGGAAGGTGGGCACATACATCTGAAGAGAACGTACCGTAGTCACTGTGCTCGCCCTCAGTGAGGTTTGGGCAGAATTGAGGAAAAGAGTTAACGAGCGAGCGGGTGGATACACACATCTGAAGAGACCGTACCGTACAGGCGGCCATGAGCAGAAGGTTTAACGAGCGAGCGGGCACACACATCGGTGTTCATCATTAAAAAAATACATTTGAATAACTAGAATGACTAATAAAGAAGTTAAATGTAAGAAACATTATACTTAACAGACAGTGATAAGTAAGAGCAATTCATTCACTCAAGAAAGTTAGAAATTAAATAATTAAAGCATTCAGTTAGCTAATGAAAGTCTTGGCTAGTTCGATAAATCCCCAATCCTAACTATTATTTCATAGTGACTGATATAATTGCACACTTATAAACATCACAACATTTAGCTAATAACTGAACTACTAATAATTCACCCTTATATATATGAAGATCAGGAGAATGGAAATAAAATATATTTATTTTTAAATTAATTACATTTCTTCACGTTTTTGGCATTTAATTAAAGTAGAATCGAGCATATTTAAAAATGTTTTGAACATTAAATCAACAAAATCTTGGAAATCTTGGAACTTTCCTAATAATCCATTTTTAAATTTGTAAATAAAATTATTTTTAATGCCAAAAAAAATTTTTAATCACTAATAATTGCAAATTTTTTTTTACTTCAACATTGAAATATTACTCTAAAGTGGATTTTATAAACTTTCTTTTTTGCTTAAATTCTCAAATATCTCCGCCAGAATATATACTGGTCAATACGAAACTGTTAGAAACTGTCGAACTTTCTTAATGATCCATATTTAAATGTACAATTAAAATTAAGCATTAAGTTTAAAAAACTCTTGGAAACTCCCGAACTTTCCAAATAATCCATATTTAAATCTGCAATTAAAATTAATTTCAATACCAAAAATAAATTAAAATCATCACTAATTGCAAATTTTATTAAATTTGTACATTGAAAGATTACTTCAGAAAATTCTATAAATTTCCTTTTCTGCAATTATATGTCAAATACCCCAAACAGAATGTGTGCAGATCAAGAGCAATGTAAATAAAATAATCAATTAAAGTCCAAAATATATTTTATTTTTAAATGAATTAAATTTTTATAACAATGTTGGCACTTACCTGAAACAGAATTTAGCGGATTTAAAAATTTTTTCTGTATTAAATTAACAAAGACTCTTGTCGATTTTAAATCTGCAATTAAAATTAATTTCAATGTCAAAAATAAATTTTATTAAATTTGTACATTGAAAGAATACTTTAAAGTGAATTTTATAAACCTTTCTTTTGTCTGAATTGTCAAATATCCCCACAGAATATACGAAGATCAAGGGGAATGCAAGCAAAAATGATCTATTATGTTCAAAATATATTTATTTTTAATGAATAATATTTTTCTAATATCTTTGGCACCTAATTGAAACAGAATTAAGAAAAACTAAAATTTTTTTTAATACTAAATTTATAAAAAACTTCTAAAAATTGTAAAAATTTCTTAAATAACCATGTCTAGAATTGTGACTAAATTTAATTTTAATATTTTAAAAATAATTGAAATCATGTATAGTTGCAAATTTAATTAATTTCTGCATTGAAAGTTTGCTTTAAAGTTGATTTTTAATACATTCCTTTTGCACAAAATGCTAAAAACAGTGGATAAAATGTCAGCAGATCAACTTTAATGCAAATAAAAGTAATCAATTAAGTTCAATAATATTTATTTTTAAATGAATTATATTTTTCCAGCATTGGTAGAATTTAAATGAAACAGAATTAAGAAAAATTAAAACATTTTTAATATTAAATTTATAAAAGCTTTTAAAAATTGTCGAAATTTCTTAAACAATCCTGTCAAGAATTGTGATTAAAATTAATTTTAATATTCAAAAAATGATTGCAATCATTTATAATTGCAAATTTAATTAATTTTTGTATTGAAAGTTTGCTTCAAAGTTGATTTTTAAAAGTTTTTCTTTTGCATAAAATATCCAAAATCCTTGACAAGATGTAAGCAGATGAAGTATAATGCAAATAAAAGTAATCAAATAAGTTCAAAATGAATTATATTTCCCTAACATCTTTGGCACATAACTAAACAGAATTTTGGAATATTAAAACTTTTTTTAATATTAAATGTACAAAAACTCCTAAAAATTGTCGAAAATCGTTAAATATCCGTATCTGAAACTGTGATCAAAAATTAATTTCAATATTAAAAAATAATTGAAATCAATTATAGTTGCAAATTTTATTAAATTCTGCACTGAAAAATTTTTCACATTAAAGTGAATTTTATAAATTTTTTTTTTCATAAATTGTCAAATATTCCTAACAGAATACATGAAGATCAAGGGGATTGCAAATAAAATTGTGAATTAAGTTCAAAATATATCTATTTTTAACGAATAATATTTTTCTAATATCTTTGGTATTTAATTAAAACAGAATTCAACATTTTAAAAATTTTTTCAGCATTAAATTTTCAAAAACTCTCGGAAACTCCCGAACTTTCCAAATAATCCATATTTAAATCTGCAATTGAAATTAATTTCAATACCAAAAATAAATTAAAATCATCACTAATTGCAAATTTTATTAAATTTGTACATTGAAAGATTACTTCAGAAAATTCTATAAATTTCCTTTTCTGCAATTATATGTCAAATACCCCAAACAGAATGTGTGCAGATCAAGAGCACTGTAAATAAAATGATCAGATAAGTCCAAAATATATTTTATTTTTAAAGGAATTAAATTTTTATAACATTGTTGGCACTTAACTGAAACAGAATTTAGCAGATTTAAAAATTTTTTCAGCAATAAATTAACATAAACTCTTGCAAACTGTCGAGTTTAAATCTGCAATTAAAATTATTTTCATGTCAGAAATAAATTAAAATCAGCACTAAAGGCAAATTTCATTAAATCTGTACATTAAAAGATTACCTTAAAGTGAATTTTATAAAGTTTCTTATTTGCATAAATGGTCAAATATCCCAAACAGAACATATGAAGATCAGGAGAATGCAAATAATATAGCCAATAAAGTTCAAAATATGTGAACTTTTCTATTGATCCATATTTAAATCTGCAATTATTTTCAAAGTCAAAAATAAATTAAAATCACTAAATTTTGTAAAGTTTCATTTCTCCATAAATTCCAAATATCCCCAACAGAATGTGTGAAGATCAAGAGGAATGCAAATAAAAATAATCAATTAAGTCCAAAATATATTTATTTTTCAATGAATTAAATTTTCATAACATTGTTGGCATTTAATTAAAACACAATTTAGCATTTTAAAAATTGTTTCAGCATTAAATTGACAGAAAAGCTCTTGGAAACTGTCGAATTTAAATCTGCAATTAAAATTAATTTCAATATCAAAAATAAATTAAAATTGGCCTAAAAGCAATTTCCATTAAATTTGTACATTGAAAGAAAACTTTAAAGTGAATTTTATAAAGTTTCTTTTTTGCCTTAATTGTCAAATACCCTTAACAGAATACAT